GAGAGGGAGACAAAGAATTTGAAGCAGGCTCCAGGCTCTGAGCTGTCAGCACAGAGCCTGATGCAGGGCGCGAACCCATGAACTGTGAGATCATGACCTGAGCTGAAGTTAGATGCTTAACCAACTGAGTCACCCAGGTGCCCCGATACAGAGGATTCTAAAGGGATTCCTTCACACAGGCACTTACTACACTTCATGTGTAGTGTATTACGATACTGTTTATGAGAGCCCAGTTATATCGACTTACAGATTACACTTTCTCACTTTAAATTAACCATCACAAAATGCCTGAGTCTCTTTTTTTAGAAGTATGTCAGATTTATTGATTGATTGATTGATTGATTGATTGATTTAGTGCAAGTGAGCAAGGGGCAGAGAAAAAGAATCCCAGGAGGAGCAGAGGGAGGAAGAGAGAGAAAGAAAGAGAGGAGGAGGGAGAAGCAGGACTCATGCTCACTCAATGTGGGACTCGAACTCACAAACCATGAGATCATGACCTGAGCTGAAGCCAGATGTTTAACAACTGAGCCACCCAGGCGCCCAAAGTGTCTGAGTCTTAAAAAGGAGATTCTAAGAAACTATGGCTCATAGTTAATACTAATAATGAAAGTGATAGACAAGAAAGTGTCTGAGCCAACACCTATGTATTTCTAGTATAAATTCTTGTCAGTCCCATAAGGGATGAAAATAAGGATGATGTAATCAGATTTGACAAGAGCAGGACCAAAAATTTCAAGACTATTTGAAATATGGATTTATATCCACTAATGATAAAATGAGGCATTTTATGATATCATTATAATGATATCATAGCCAGACATTTAAAAAATCTTTATTTCATCCTTCAAAATGATATATTTTATGTGTGTTCATGGTATTAAAATGTTAACATGAAATAATATTTGTATTTATGTATACTATGGCTGCATTTTTTAAGTGTTAGGGGTATAGGGGCACCTAAGTGGCTCAATCAGGTGAGCATCTGACTCTTGATTTTGGCTCAGGTCATGATCTCACAGGTTGTGGGACTGAGCCCTACATAGGGCTCTTGGCTGATGCTGAAGAGCCTGTTCAGTATTCTCACTCTCTCTCTATGCCCCTCCCGGGTCATGCTCTCTCTCTTTCTCTCCCAAAATAAATAAACTAAAAAAAAAAAAAAAAAAAAAAGGATTTGTTAAAAAAAAATAATAATAAAATAAAATGCCCGGGATATTTTTTAAAAGTTTGGGGAGCATAGGGCTAAACTATGACCTGTAGTATGTTAGAATCAAACTCACGTTCCTACAGAGATTACGGCATTGACTGACTTGAATGAAGTAATCAAAATGACAATATGTGTTAGTATTTATGGATTTGGATTTGCCTTCTCCAACCATAAGGTCTTTGTCTATGTGTTGTCATCCAACAGGTGGAATGTGTTAGACCACCTTTGGGGTATCACATTAGTTCAAAGCAATCATCTTTCACTGATAATTCTCCACCTTTTCCTAATTCACAGAGTAGATTTTGTAAGCTACGTCTTACTCTGTGACTCCACCCACTTAGACAAACTTGATTGGACTAAAAGTAGACTCCTATAAAACCTGAGCTAATCAGTTGCTTTCTCTTTAGATTTTGTAATTGAAACTAAGACAGATAGCCATTTTCTTGAATGGTGCTTATTTGAACGCTGGAACTGAGGTTGCCATTGCTGCATACACGTGTGTATGGAAAAGGAGGGAAAGTTCTGTATAGAGAAGAAACAGATGTACAGAAAACCTTAGAACATTAGTTACCTCCTTTCCAACCTCTTTGTTACTCTTTGAAAATATTTTGATTTTATATTGTTTATATTGTTGGAGTGATATGATTGTGGGAAGGGAGGGTAACAAACAAAGAACATGGACAGCCTCTAGAAGATGGAAAAGGCAAAAAAATGTATTTGCCTCCAGAGCTCCCAGAAGGAACGCAGACCTGCCAACACCTTGATTTTGGCCCAGTGAGATCCATTTTGGACTTCCGATCTTGAGAACTATAAGATAAGGAATTTTTATAGTTTCAAGCTACTACATTTCTGGTAATACCATTATCAAATTCCTCTCAAGGCACTCTGGACTTTGAATTCTGTATAAATTTGAATAATAGCATTTCAAAACTGAGAGGGACCTTCACTGGGGGACTTGAGGTAAAGAACTTGCCTAAGGTTACCTGGCTGGTCAGTAATGTCGGGATGAGAACCCAAGTCTCCAATCTTTCATCTATGTACATTGATGACTATAAAATGTCTAACAAAGAGGTTGGTATATAAAAGTACTCAATAAGTGGTAGAGTTTTTCCTTATTGTTTTCATTATTATTATGCATTTTCTTTTGTAATCTACAATAATATTTCATTTCTTGAACATTGCTAAGTAAGCAGGTACCCTGTAACAACCTGTTAAAATCATCAAAAAGGCTAACCAGGGAGTGAGTGAGGAATTAGCTGGTCAAGAAGTAGAAGAGGATAAGGCCTACACATTCAGAGAGCTTATGCACTTCAGATTCCAAAAGAGATGGCTGCAAGGTTGAGCTGCACGGAAACACAATATGGAACTTAGGAACTGTTAGTGACTCTGGTACACCATATTTTGAGGTGGTCTTCAGAAGGACAGCACCCTGGGAGGTAAAGGAGGACCAAACTATATCCGTCCCCATAAGGGTCCAAAGTCTAATATAAAAAATCTTAAAAGCAGCTGCCAGGGGTGGGGGCGGGAGAGGGGGCAGAAACCAATGCCCTTCAAAGAAACAGTCTCACTGACAGTTGACTTTTTGTAGGCAACAGCAGAAGTCAGGCCCTGGAATAATTTTTAAGTGTACTGAGAGAACCTAAACCGCTTCTCTCATCACATCTCCCCTACCCACCTCCCTCTTTCACTTATAAGGACCCTTGCGGTTACTTTGGACCTACCAGGAAATCAAGGATAATCCCAGATCCTTAATGTAATCGTACCTGTGAAGTTCCTTTTCCAACGTAAAGTAATATATTCACAGGTTCCGGGCATTGGGATGTGGACATCTATGATGGGCCATTATTATCCTTACCCTATTACTAATCTAAAATAAGGTCTCACCCTTTATCATGAGTAGCTCTTTCCTTCTATAAAGCCCCATGGAAAAAAGAAAATCAGTATTTTCAAGAAGAGGATAGGGCATTTTGCATATTACCTCATTTAAAACACCATCAACTTTCAACCTTGGTGAGATAAAAATTATTACCTGGAGCTTACAGATTCTGCGATTGACCATGAAAGAGATTAGGTAACTTGACTGAGGTCATCTAGCTGGTAAAACTGTCTTACTAGTAATTGTATCGACAGCACCAGATTGGTCTATCAGACTCCAACTAAGCTTTTTCCACCATACCAAGTAGAGGTGGAATGTATATTGTTTGGCTTACCATTGCGTGAAAGGTTTCTGTATCTTAGCAAGCACACTCTAATTTGGTGGGCTTCGAACTGGGTGAAAAAGAAATAAAGAATGGAGTAAGGTTTCAAACTGGAGAGACATCTTCGACTAAAGTATTTATGACAAAAGCTCTTTGGGTGTTGACCACGTGATCACGTTTAAATCACTTACCTTGTTATTTGGCCTCAGTTCCCACATTTGTAAGATGAGATGTTTGGACCTAATGACACCTTTTCCAGTTCCCTTCTCGCTCAGACATTCTATGGTTCTAAGACAGAAGCCACTTTCCTCAAGATGCCTCCACGTTTGGGGGGGGGGGG